TAAATGCAGCCTACTTTGTGCAAACCTGATAATTCTTCCACTGCAAAACAGCTTTTTGGATGAGACTGGCTGAATAATGGTAGCTTTTCCGTGAACAATGAATGGAGATGGATAGAAAGAGTGCAGAAAGTGGAGATTTAATCAGTCATTGATATCTCGCATTTTACCTATGAGATGAAAACAGATTTACACCTCGTCCCCTAATCACGACAGAGATGAGGTGATTTGATTTCGGCATGTCATATTTCAGAGGGTGACTTTAGAACTGACATCTCTAACCTTTTCTCTACCTCTAGATTACTTTCGTGAGGTCACAAAAAACGGTGATCAGACGACGAATAAATTATATATGTATCGAGGATTTCCACATAATATTATGTGCTCAACGACTTGGATTCCTTTCCTCATGGACACTTTCAAAAATAATAACGATCGAACGCGCGCTTTTCGACCACTACGCTACATTTTGCTTATTAATAAATACTCTTATTTCTATAAAGTTTTATTTCTATAGTTTTGGTTTGTAAGGATTAGTTATGCTTTACGAGTTGATTCCTGGTTTTCAATGGTTCTCTAACTGATATCAATCCGTGATCAACTCGTAAAGCATAAAATTTTATCCCAAGAGTTTGCGGAAACCATCACAATTAATAACCTTTCGAAAACTGAATCCAACAAACACAATCTTATTGACAGATAATACATATAACTAACTAATTGGATTTGTGGAATTTTTAAACATAAACACATCTATAATTGTATATATTGTTGGATTTATATGTTCAAGTTGCTCCAAGTCAGTGAGTTTATGGTTAAGATATCATTTTAGTTAACTGTACTGAACTATATTGCATGTTGTCTTATTGTATAGTTGTCGTCGCTTTTTGCCCTTTTTTCTGTGAACTGTTTCCTTTGTTGATGTTGTTCTCATTGTTTGTCCGTTATTTTCTGATTTTGAGGGGAGCAACCCAAAAAGTTGCTTCTCTCTAAACTTTACTTAATGTAATCATTCTTTTCTCAGGCGTGAGGCTAGCAACCCCACCCTGTAAACAAAATTGCTACAGAACCTTCAGCAAAATGAACCTCTTTGCACCAAAAGAAAAAGTCTGTGTAGGAACATGGAACGTCCGAACTATGTACGAGACATGGAAAGCTGCCCAGATCGCCAACGAGATGAAAAGATACGGAATACAAGTGCTGGGAATATGTGAGAGCAGATGGAATGGGAGTGGACTCACCAAATTGTCAACAGGTGAGTCAGTGATCTACTCCGGTCACCCAGAAGATAACCACACGCACACCGAGGGCGTGGCTATCATGATGTCACCAACGGCAACGAAAGCCCTGATACAATGGGAGGCGATTTCGTCCAGGATAATGACCGCCAGGTTCAACTCCAAAGGAAGGAAAGTGTCAATCATACAATGTTATGCACCCACAAACAACGCAGACCTCGAGAAGAAAGAAGAATTCTACAGGCAACTACAGGCAACAATGGACAATACTCCAGCTGGCGACATGAAAATACTAATGGGAGACATGAACGCCAAACTGGGACCAGACAATACGGGAAGGGAACTCATCATGGGTAGAGAAGCTCTAGGAGAAATGAATGAAAACGGAGAACTCTTCGCCGACTTCTGCGCCTTCAACGAACTGGTGATTGGTGGCAGTGTATACAAGCACAAAGATATCCACAAGGCTACATGGGTGTCACCAGACGGGCAAACCAAAAACCAAATCGACTTCATCTCAATCTCAAGGAAGTGGAGGCGCAGCCTACTGGACACAAAAGCAAGAAGAGGAGCAGACGTTGGCTCAGACCACTATCTCGTACAAGGGACAATCCAAATCAAATTAAAAGCTTTCAGGGAATCAGGAGCTGCAGATAGACCACAAGCCAAGTTCAACACTCAAAAGCTGAAGGACCAGGCTACAAAGGACATCTTCATTGCAAGCATAAAGGACAAAGCAGAGACACAAATCAACACTAGCGAAGAGGTCGGCGTTGAAAAGCACTGGAACAACTTGAAAACGGTGTGGAGCCAAACCTGCATAGAAATTCTAGGCAGAAAAAAGAGACAGGACAAACAGTGGCTCACTACGGACACTTGGAAACTAATAGAAGAGAGAAGGACAGTGAAGCAAAAGATTATCCAGTGCACTGACGAGCAACAAAAACAGGAGCTGAATGCAAGCTACAATACACTGAACAAAAGAGTGAAGAAAAGTGCCAGGGAAGACAAAAGAAAATATTATGAAACCATGGCAAACGAAGCAGAACAAGCTGCAGGCAAAGGAGACCTCGCCACACTCTACCAAACAACTAGGAACCTTTCGGGCAAACGTTCGACACAGATTAAGCCAATAAAGGACGACAATGGAAAGTCAATCACCAAAGAGGTGGAACAGAGAAAGCACTGGGTTGAACACTTCAAAAGACTTCTAAATCGTCCGCCACCTACAACACGTCCAGCAATACCAACAACGGAAGCAGAACTACCAGTGAACACTGACCCCCCGACGAAATCAGAAGTCCTGAATGCAATCAAGATGCTTAAAACTGGGAAAACACCGGGACCAGATGGAATCCCAGCAGAGGCTTTGAAAATAGACCCAGAGACAACAGCGGACTTGATGACACCACTGCTGGAGAAGGTGTGGAAAGAGGGCAAAGTACCCGAGGATTGGAAGAACAGATACTTATTCAAACTTCCAAAGAAAGGAGACTTAAGTCAATGTAAAAACTGGCGTGGAATTATGCTTCTGTCCATTCCAAGCAAGATACTAAGTCGCATCATCCTGGAGAGAATCAAACAAGCCCTAGATGAAAAACTTCGTCCGGAACAGGCTGGATTCAGGAGAAACAAATCATGTATTGATCAAATCGCCACTCTACGGATCATCATTGAACAAAGCTTGGAATGGCAGTCACCTCTCTATCTCAACTTCATCGACTTTGAAAAGGCCTTCGACAGCGTCGATCGAGAGGTCATTTGGAAACTACTTCGCTACTACGGGGTCCCATCGACAATTATACACCTCATCCAACAGTTATACGACAATGCTGCATGCCAAGTAATCCACAACGGGAAACTTACGGAAGCCTTCGAAGTGAGGACGGGAGTGAGGCAAGGCTGTCTACTATCACCAATGATCTTCCTGATTGCAATTGATTGGATAATGCGACAGACAACGGCAACCAACGAGGGAACAGGCATAAAATGGACTGACACAAAAGACTTGGAGGATCTGGATTTCGCCGATGATATATGTCTGATTTCCCATAAACTGGAAGATATGCAAGTGAAAAGTAACAAGTTGGCAGAAGAAGCATCAAAGATAGGACTTCACGTGAACATAGATAAAACAGAGATGATGAAGATTCCTAGCCAACATCAACAGCAACAACAACAACAGACAACAATAAGCATAAATGGGAAGAACCTGAAAGAAACAACCTCCTTCACCTACCTGGGAAGCATCGTCTCAACTACAGGCGGAACTGACGAGGACATCAAAGCCAGAATCGGAAAAGCAAGACAAGCTTTCATTACTCTCAAATCTGTGTGGAGGTCAACAGCACTCAGCATCAAAAATAAGATCCGGATTTTCAACTCCAATGTGAAGTCAGTGCTACTATACGGATCAGAGACTTGGCGAGTCATAAAGAGCATCTCAAACAAACTTCAAACCTTCATTAACAACTGTCTCCGCTCAATACTCAAGATCAGATGGCCAGAAAAGATCAGCAACAGGGATCTCTGGGAGCGAACCAATCAGGAACCGATTGTGAAACAAATAGGCAGAAAGAAATGGAGATGGATTGGCCATACGCTGAGGAAACCATCAAGTGACATCACTAGACAAGCCCTCGAGTGGAACCCGAAAGGGAGGCGGCGAGTTGGTCGTCCAAGGGTGACTTGGAGGAGGTCATGCGAGGAGGAGATGAAAGCATGTGGACAGACCTGGAGCAGGGTGAAAAAGTTGTCAGAAAACCGAAGTCAATGGAGGTGCGCAGCTGAAGCCCTATGTTCCTCTAGGAACTAAAGGATACAATAATAATAATAATAAGAGCGTCGGTGGCACAGTGGTTAGGACTCTCGCCGACCATGCACATGGACGAAGATTCGCTCCCCTGCCGACGCGCACCTGATATCTAAGGTAGGCCTGCGAAATTTGGGCTAACGATATCCATGCTGAAAATTTCATACTTGTACCAAATACATTGCGGAATTAAGCTTCACTCAAAAATATAAAAGAATAAAACAAAATAAATCACTTGTTATCCGAATCCGACAGATTTTGCTAGATGCAGCATCACCGTCTACCAAATGTTAAATGACCAAGCCCACCCAAATAAAAGCATCCTGCCATCAAGTGATTCTAGGCTTCCAGGAGGTAACCCTCTAAGGATAGCACACCAGAGACCAAAGACTCGAGTGCGATCACATTTCTTTTCGCTTCGTGTTTGTCGTCTCTGGAACGCTTTACCGGCGGCCGTGAATACAGCGCCTTCTCTGGAGATTTTTAAGCGGAAGCTAGACAATCATGCAGAAATGCAAGGTTTGTGTCCCAATGGCTTATCCTCATAAAACTTGAAACCACACTGTCAATGGATAAGCGTACAAACTAAATCCCCACGACCTATTCTGCCTTCTCTCACTCTATCTTTTCCTTAGGTCACCTTTATTATTCCACTTATCTCAACCTATATTATCTACACTACAACCCATTATTTTTGTTCTTATTATTATTACTACTAATTTGGTTTTTATGACTACACCGAATGACCAACGGGAATTAGGTCAAACTCCATTCACGGTAGCAACACAGTCCTAACATACTGCATACTACAAATCACATCTCGACTAATCCCCGCACCACTCCTCCTGGAGTCTACCAGAGCTAAGGCAGTCGAGTGGCGGGACTTACTACGCAGAAGCTCACCGAAGATCTGGAACCTCTACCTCACAATCAAGAAGCGAGCTCAAAGAAATCACTGGTTTATACTAGCTCGTAATGAGGATATTGGATATAGGATGCTGGCGGGACAATCAATGTGTGACGGTACATTACGATGTTTAGCCCGTCGATTTCTACGAAACAGGAGAGATCTGATAATACCAAGTCTAACGTTTTCTGTAAGATATACAATGATCCTTACAAATGGTATGTTATCATTTAACAAGGCTTAATCTAGTAGGTCTCTGGTGAAAAGTGTCGCAATGTTTGCTTCTGGAGTTGTTGGTTTTCTTATCATTCACGAGGCCGTAAACGCTCCTTTAGAAACTGTATAAATAATTTGATTGTAAATTAAATTAGAATGTTTTCTTGTGAATAAACTATGAAGTGATTCTTACTTTTTGATTTCTAGACTACACTTGGCATACATATGCTTATATATGTTTTCCTCGTAAATTTGTTTTTTTTTCTAAGCAAATAGCAATGAACAATGTTGATTCGAAAATCGATTTCGACAGTTCATTCAATTGCGTTAAAAGTGCACAGGAACGCCTGGTTCATCTCAGGGATCGTCAGTTAAAGCGACGTGGTATACTTCTCCGTCTTCTCCTGAGGGATAGCTCCTTCTTGGCAAAACTAGATGCTTGTGATAATCGTAATATAACCTTGTCAGAGGTCCTCGGTCACCGTAGGCCTCTTCACTCAAAGTACGATGAAATCATTCACAGAAAACAGTCAATCTTGTGAGTTGTGTTGTCATTAGACTAAAATTCCTATAGCTTTTATTATTTATAGTTGGCCTATCATCCATTTCTAAGAAGTACATATACATGTGTATTTCATTCTGGATGGCTGTCTAATATTTTAGTCTCAGAGCAAGTGCTGTCCAACAAAAGTATTGTTTCCATTATAGATATCCATGATGGAGTTACACTCTACCACAGTGCCTAAGTTTTGTACTTATATCAGAAGTATTTTCTATGTAATAGCCCTAGTAAATAGACGCATTTCTTTGGGCTTTGTATTGTTTTTATAGTTTTGATTGCCTTTCCTAAATCTGTGTGTCTATCAGGCTATGAACTGGCTTCCATCTGACTGCAGAATTAGTGTGTGGTGTTCTTTGTTGCTGATAAAATCCCAATATGTACTTAAAGTAATTATGGCACCATAGCGATAGAAGATAATTGTTGGAGTTCGAGGCTTTCACATCCGTTTGCTGTAATTTGAAAAGTATCCACCGAAACAGCGTAAATGCGGTCGCTTAACTATGAGTTAACGAATTTATCTTTCCGTAGGATCATTTTACTTTTCGGGTTTAAATTGTCTCTCACTTTATTCCAACCTTTCTTCTAGTTCCCAGTCATATTTATAAACATACAATTATATTCACTGAAGCCTTCCTTTTTTCATGGCGTGTGAACTATCTAGTGTGTCGCTTTCTTGTTCATAGACCTGTCGGTCTGTTTTCCTTTGGTTTTTCATACCGCACACACTAGCGAAAAAATGTTACTGTTTATTAAAGATGCCTTCGGGTACTTACAATGGTTATCGTGAATTAGGAGTTATAGTAGTACAAATTTAAACTGCTAATGTTAAAGAAACATATTCAGATGTAGTATTGGCGATGTTTCTCAAACTCGTGTATGACAAAGTAAGTTTATTCGCTGGGTGTCATGAGAGATTATTAGACTTATAAGTTCATTCCTTATTGTTAAGCTGTAGTGGTCATCTAGAATTCTCGATTTATGTGCAGTTTAACTCTTCAGAATTTGTTCAACTATCATTTAAAGTTTCCTGAAATTAATACGATTATGTTTTCATATGAAATCAAAAAATACTCTGCTTTTAAGAATATCACCGTATTATAATTTTCTAATCAGAATTCCGAGCATTCAAATTTTATTAGTTGCTCATTTGCTGAAGTAGTTAATCTTTAAGTAGTGGATCTTGAGTTTAAACTCGTAAGCTATCTGTGAATTTCAACGAGCCATTGTTTAAGTTAATTTTCATACATTCAAGCAAATGGGGTATAGGACTGTTATTCAGTATAAGTTCTCTTTCATGCTCTGCGTTATGACCTACATATAGTGGGTAGACAATCCAATTATTATCCGACTTCTTGGGCTAAAGTAAGAAGAGTAGGAGTATAAACTTTGTAACTGAGCGCAGGCATAACTAGGCATCTCAGTGAGGCTGAGTTCCCCCCGTTTATATACGTCATTATATTAACCTATTTAATATTCAGAAGTAGATACACATGTTGTAAGTGCAGGAGTTTTAACAAACGTATTATATGAAACTTAAATCCGTTATCTGGTTGAGTAAGTCATATTACGAAGGAGACTAGTAGTGTTCTCTGAGCTGGTTGGTTTAATTACGGAGCTTTAGTCGTTCAGAGAACACTACTGATTGCAAATCATCCACCTGAGCTACAAATCTTTGTTATTTCGAGACTAGTGCATTTTATGTCCGTTGATTATATTTAGTTTGCTAATCAACTTGGATTTCTGATTTCCCTTCAACTATGAAGTGATAGACTTTATTAATGATCTAGTTATGAAAGAAGTACAAATAAAGTTCCCAGTACTCCATAATATCGTTGCATTTCCTTCATCTTAATTGAGTGCAAAATAACAATCGACTAATCGAAATAAGTTAGTATCAGCATACTTCATAAGTTCGCTGCCTGATTAGTCCGTAGGTTATAACTACGTGAGTGTTTGAGAAAATACAATGGTCTAATGTAAAGTAGTTCTGTAACTTATGGGTGATGTCCGGTTAAGCGAGCCAGTGAGCAAGATGAATCTGTTTTATAGGATGCTATGAAAATGTCGAACGAAAGTTATTCAAGTATTGGTTTGTAGGGATTCGATTGGTTTACAGGATTTCGTCATCAAGTCGTGACCAGCAGCGTGCAGCTGGTCAGGTGTGAGGACAATTCATGGGGCATGATATGGCTGTAGCTACAGCGGTACCGGGCGTACTGCTGAAGAGTCCCAAACTAAGCTGACGAAACAGCTGTCCAATACTCCCAGGTGGTTTTGCAATGGTTCTCTAACTAATGTCAGCTCATGATGAAATCCTCTGAACGAAAGTTAGCCAATAATTCATAGTCACATTTAAGAAATGATTAAAAGAGTTGTGGGAGGAATTGTAACTATCATTATTAGGATAGGTCAAGCTTAGATACTATACATGGGGAAAAAGTAGTTTCTTTTTATTGAGAATACCTGGGGAAGCAAAATTAAGGTAACATTAATCTGTCTAATGGTTATTTTGAAAATGGTTTAACTGTTCACTTCATGTATCCATTAAATGTATGCAACTGGGTTTTTACTCTTGTTGTTCAGTCTTCGTAAGTATGCATTTCCTGTTACATTTTTCGTATGTCTCTGTTGGTACCAAAACTCAGTCGGCTTTCCCTTATTAAATGCAACATTGAAGTTTATATTAAGACTTTCGAAATGAGAAGTAACCTAGCTGGGTTGTACCTCAGAGTTAATATACACTGATATGTTATGAGGACACATTATCAATCATTTAGTTGAATGTAAGTGTTTACATGAAGTACTACTGGAGATATGAACCAAAATTATTCTCAACAACTGTTTTCATCCTCTGTAATCTTGCATGCTTCTTAAACCGTTGTTTTTTCATGTTACTATTTTGTCTCCCTCATATTTTCATCTGTTATAGTACCTTAGAATCCTTTTCTTTCTTTTTCTACATTTGTGTGCTAAATAGAATGTGGCTGCACTTGGGTGCTAAGTTCTGTGTTGAAATTAAGTCAATCAGTCACATTAAGTACTACTGTTTGATATATTCCATAACAGTATACTTTCTATAATCTTCAACAGATTATTTTTTTGTAAACAATTAGCTCAAATCGCTAGTAGTTTTTAACTGATAGACTTATTAATTCAGTCTAAAAATCTTAATTTCAAAGATTTACTTGGCTAAGTGAAATACTGCCTTAATAGTAACGTCGGTATAATAAAAGTGTGTGGTTGATTGACAATTGAGTGTACATCTAACCTCTTACGTACAATAGATATTTAAAGCTGTCAGTTTGTGGATTTGTTTTATTTCACATAATTTTAATTTGAAATAAATATTTACTGAAGAAATTTATATTATTTATATTATTTCGTGCTCCTCTTATTGAGTTTTCTTTGCTGTTTGATACTGAAAAGTACAAAAACTCGAGCTGATGCTATTCTGTGATATGTTCCGCATTGCCTGCAGCTGGCGCGAATAAATATGTATGTAATCTATTTATAAAATGGTAATCTCTGAACTCATTCTCATTAGAATCATATTATCTTCATTTCTGTTTCGTTCTTGTTTTTCGTATTTTCTTAGACCAATCATTTCTCGTCTGAAAAGTCCAGTGCTTAGTCTGAAACTACGTCGAGCTATACAATCTTTCTTACGCGAATCTAGTACAACTAATCATGATAATAATCAAATTATTCAACATTGGGATAAATTTAGTCTTGAAGTTGTTGGTGATAAACTTCGACAAACACTGGCATCATGCATATCAACCAATACAAATAGCGGTAATTTAAACGATAAAGCATCAAATGAAGACAATGCTATTAGTAAAGCAGGAGATCCTGGCGGTGATTTAACTATCAGGACTTTTACTGGTTCAGCTGCTTTTCTCAAAGTAAGGTACTTTTCAAATATTATAGTATTGGATATGTTTCGTGCAGTTATTATGGATTAAATATGTTGAACATAAAATTTAAGGTTATTAAATCAAGATTTTAAAAAAGTGTAAGCGTGTTTTTACACACACCACATACTATTGTAGAATTTGCAGGCTATCATCAAACTGCATTGATTTTCATTTACTTTTTGAACTATTTTTACGTGTAACTATTCCAGTAGAGATCTGGTTAGCTGTCTGTATCCCTCTACCTGCATACATAAAGTTATGGATTCTAATCACGTTTCACGTACTTCAACCTGGGCGACTGGGTAACATCATCAATCTTCCAGAAGTCTGTATATATGTGTGTCCTTGGGAGCCTGATAAATGGAAAGTTTGTTGCAAGTAACTGAGTTCTTACTAGCTAACATTGTGGGAAAATTCGATTCGGTTGGTGCATTTAGTGATCAGACTAGAGGCAAAAACTATTTGATCAAAACTGAGTGCATTGTAGTTTCGCATTAGTTGATGTAGTGAGCTCATTACATATTTAATCGAAATGTTTCAGTGAGCCTCGGACATCTTATACATACATTGAATGACATTCATTTTTAACTCTTGAATTATGTCAAATAATTTCTCACATCATTCTCAGTCAAATGAACTGCAAATTATTGATCCTTCTTCAATGTGGAATAAAATGAATCTCATTGATTCTCAATACTGAACCATACAGTGAAGCGAATACTATGTAGTTTTGCATATTTGAAGTTATTTTGCAAAGATCTTAGACTTAATATTTTGCTGTCTGTCGCTATTCTACAACAAAAACAACAACTCTTGTTTAGGGGTCATTCATTGTTCAACATTCTTGTCAGAGACAAAAAAGCCTTATTTGAGATAGTGTTAACCGTTCACAACATGAACGATGTTTAAACCGTTTTGTTTGGGAGTCCTCAGGATGCTAAGGACCAATAGTTGGAAACTGTTGGTAATATGACTCAAAATCGTCTGAATAGCTAAATGAGATGCATGCACTCTTTGCTATCTCTCACATCCATTAAACTCTCAAGTCTCTCCATATTATTATTCCTTGTATGCTACATTGAGTGTGTTAACGTGAACTACTGCACTTCTTTGCAAAGTTTTATGTTGAAACTCACTGACTCAGTCAGTCAGTAAACATATGGAGTAATTATTGAGCATCTTTTTCTTCACTTTTACTGTCAGTTCAATGAAAATCTACACTAGAAGATTCTTGATTATACAAATTAAAATAATACACTATACTGTCCTAATTTACCGTTATACGATGGTTTGGTTGTTGTGCGATGTGTGTTTGAGTTCCTGCTGAAGGTTACCTATCAGGGTATTAATCTCTACATTTCAATTTATATTTTCATTGCAATATCGAATTATCGATATTACACAATGTATTTATTTTCTTTTTCATTTAGGGAACTCAAAGTGCTAATCCACATAATGACTATTGTCAGCACTTTGTAGATACTGGTGAACGTCCACAAAATTTCATACGTGATACAGGTATGTTTAAAGCTATAGGGGTTATCAAATTCTTGTATTACATAAATATATATATATATATATGTATGCTTTGGTCGATGTATTATATGAAGAAATGTCAACAATAGTAGTTATTATTGTTTCTTGATTTATGCGTCAAACTGAACACAGGGTGTGAGAAGACAGGGGTACGCTGGACCACCAATGACAAGACTCTAGAAGATCTGGACTTCGCAGATGACATTTGTCTATTCGCACACAAACTCGACTTGCAGGCGAAAACCAACAAAGTGGCTGGAGAAGCGATGCAGAGGAGAAAGGACTGACTCCAGGTCAACATAGAGAAGACGGAAGTGGTGAAGATAACCAACCAACAGCAACAACAATAACCAGCATCGATCACCATCAACGGGAGAGATTTAACAGAGGTTACCTCTTTCGCTTAGCTCGGAAGCATCATTGCACCGAAAGGCGGGACGGATGGAGATGTCAAAGTCAGAATTGGAAAGGCAAGATACGCCTTCGTCAACCAATTTGGAAATCTGCACTCGGCACAAGGAACAAGATTCGGATTCTTTTCAACACCAATGTCAAGTTGGTCCTTCTATACGGGTCAGAAACTTTCACTGCGTGTCACGAAAAGGATTTCCCACAGGTTGCAGACTTTCATAAACAGCTGCTTCGCTCCATACTCAAGATCAAATGGCAGGCCAGAAAGAATTAGTAACAAGAAACTCTGGCGATGAACGAACCAACAAAGCAAGAGCCGATTGCTCAACAAATATGTGGGAGAAAATGGAGATGGATTGCTCATATATTGAGGAGGCTGTCGAATGACATCGCACGCCAGGCCATTCCTAGAGTGAAATCCCAATGGGAGGTGACGAATGGGTCGTCCTAGGGTGACATGGAAGCGATCGTGTGAGGAGGAGATGAGAGATTGAGGGCAATCGTGGCTCAAGCTGAAGAGGATGACAGGAGATAGGACAAAGTGGAGAAGTGTTGTTCCAAGTTCCACTCGGAACGCAAGGGAAATAATAATTGTTTCTTGGTTAATTATGAAGTAAACAGTTAGGAATACATAACTTATTTAGTACTTTCAATGTAAATTTCCTGACGAACCAATGGATATTTTACAGATGCAGCACCAGTTCGATGTGCCATACTCCATGTGGCACACATAGTAAGACAAAAGAGTAAACACAGATTCAAAAGAAAGAGACAGAGATAATAAACACAAATATAAGGCAAAAACAATATTCATATGCGAGAACAACAGAGTTTTATTGGAGATTATAAATCACAAAGCGTGAATGTATCTGCGCCAGCCATTGACAACGATTTTGAGCCATATCACTGTTATGTACTGCTGCTGAGTGAGTTATAAGAGTTTTCCCCGTTGCCAATTATGTTATGTACTCGTCGAGTAGTTAATAGTCCTGACGCGGAAAGAGGGAAATCAGAAGACCACCAGGTTTACGATGATACTTGTAATTTCCAGACAAGGAAAATAAATGTCACAAGAGTAAGTGAAAAGGTACGTAGTGTACGAAACGTGGGAACAAGAATGAACAAGTATACAGTACGAAAGTATGTATGAAAATGACTAATACACATGAACCAATAAATAGACAGTCTTAACATGGTTGGTTGTAATGTCATGTGACAACAAGGTCATACATTGTTTATTTAGTTAGTGGACAGACAAAAGCATATTGTCAGTTATAATGGAATATCGACCCATATACACAGCAAAATATAATAGACTGTCGAAAACAAAACACACATCCTGGGAATGCATACCAATCACTTATTGCCTCCAGCCCCTGCCATTGGTTTTTACCGTCTCGATGACCCTAACCTGCTGGTCAGAACTTCTACACCTCCCTACTTGGCTGGCTTAAACTAACTGTTGTGGATTTATTCCATTGACTGGTGATGAAGCCATGTCTTGGTTTGACCACCACCACCACTAACCAGCTCTTTTCCAACCTGATCCATCCTATGACAGTTAGCTAACACTGCCCGTGGTCAAGGAAGGCGATCGATGGTTAGTCTAGGCATGCATAGCACATGTCTTAACCATCTCACTCGGTGAAATTGAATACCTCTAAAGCTAATAATTTTTTATGTACTTGTGGGTGCTGTTACCTCATATTTTGAAAGAGAATCAGTATAATCGGCTGGAAGTATATATAAGAGTTTTAATTCAGTGAGCAGTCAGGAGAAAAGAGAATTTGGTAATGAAATTATTTATTGGCAAATCGATACACAGATATAAGCAAAATACGTATATATATATATATCTGTATACTACGTATCACATGCCACAATCTGGTTTTTCCCTTACAAAAATCAAGAATGGGTCCTTTTTTGTAGAAATACTTTCTGCAATCGGAGTACATTTAGTGTGTATATTAGAATGTATTTTTTAATTAACTGATATGTAAACAACATTATAGTTCTAGTTATTTGTCCTGCGCATTCAATTTCAACTCATTACTTTGGGTGCTTACACTTCAGTTTGATGTCTGCCTACGAATTTGAAACCTGCGTCATATACCACCAGGCTAATGAACCACAGGGATTTTGTCAGAGCTTGTGATAGTATCCATTTTTCCAGGCTGAATTAGACCGGACAGGAAATGAACCTGAGATGTATAGACAAAAAGTACAATACTTAAGCCGATGAGCTGATCATCGCCATCTACACAACATTGTAATTCATTGAATGATTTCAAACAAACCATGTAACCTTTTTGTTGACTTGTAATGGTATGAGTGATAGTATTTCTCTCAGAAATAGAATGAAGCTCATTCATTTATTATTCATGGTTATAGTAATCAATTTAATTTGATTGATAATAATGTCGTAGGCAGTGAATTTTGACCAGTAAACAGATATTTTTATCCACTCTTTTTTTGCATAAGAGGTTTGTAGGTAATTAATGGCATATATGCCGAATCCGCGCTTCATGCTTATTAACACTTATCAAGAAATTATATGTATCAACTTTTAGCATGCTTGCGCCCCTTTGTTTGAAACTCGTATTTGTATTACTCTGTCACCGCGAAGTTATGTTCACTTAAACCAGTATAAGTGGAATGGGCAGAATATTTCACAAATTTTTCTTAGATATAAAACAGGATTGGTCAACATCTTCATTAAGAAACGCATTTGTATTATTCATTCAGAATTCAAAACAGTCACTTGACATCGAAGTTAGGGCATGAAATGTTGTCTAGAGGAAGGATAATAAAAGCTTTGAAGTTAAATTATCCGGCTAAAATAACATCAACAACAACACTACGGGGACAAAAACCTCTTTAGACTTTGTCATTTAATGCGTTGACCGATAACACTTATCTAGTTACAATAATAGGTAAATAAAGTAGCGTTGATAGAAAAACTGTAACTCTTTTTCGTAGTTTTCTTTCCCACTGAAAATTTCATTGAGGTTTTACAAATATGAATAATTCTAAATCATGCTCCTGTCCACCCAAGTAAAATATTAGGCCGTATCATCCTTCAGAGACTCAAAATGTATTGGATGCAGAACTCCTCCTGAAAAGCAAATCATATGCGGATCAAACTGCAAAACAACGCACCATCATCTAACAGAGCATAGAATGGAAGTCAAATCTTACCATAACCTCGATTTTGAAAAGGCTTTTGACAGTGTTGACAGTGAAGTGACTTGGAAACTGTTCCAATACTACGAGGTGCCCTAAATCTTAATCATCTTTATTTAACGGTTATATGATATCTCATGTCAATTGATTAACAACGGAAATCTCAGCGGATTCTTTGAAGGGAAGTTGGAAGTCAGACAAGGCTGCCTACTATCACCGATGGTATTCCTGGATTTCGCAGGTGGGTGATTTATGTCCAATATTTTACAAACTTGAAAACTAACAAGTTGGCAGAAGGGAGGCTGTCAACGAAGACGGGGACTTCAAGCAAACATAGAGAGGACAGAGGTGATGAAGGCACCATTGCTACCACCAACGGAAGGAATTTTATAGAAGTCTTTTCTTTCACTTATCTAGGTAGCATCTTTTCAACAACAAGTGATGGCATGGATGAAAATGTCAAGACAAACCCTCAGTAGTCTGAAATCAGTTTGGAAATCTACACTGAGCAGCATAAAGATCGAAATTCGAACACAATTGTTAAGTCAGTTTTTTTTATACAGTTCAGAATTTGGGCGCGTCACGAAAAGCGTTTCCAACAGGCTTTAGACTTTCATCAACAGCTTCCTTCTCTGCTTACCAAGAACCTATCTTCCAACAAATATGATAAAAAAACAGAGATGGATTGGACACATGCTCAGAGGACCTTTGAGTGAAATTACTCACAGTGCATTCCTTCGCGCCATCCTCCGTTATGCCTGTGAGATATGGTTGTCTTTGGTCATGAGTTGTATCTCCCATTCTAGGTAGTATCGTATGTTGAGTAATATTGAGGTAAGGAGGGAAGTGACGAGTTGGGCGCCTGAAAGTGACATGAAGGAGATCGTGTGAAGATTAGGTGGAAGCTTATGAACAATCATGGGGCCAACTGAAAATGACTGCAGAGAATGGTATGAAATAGAAATGTATTGCTGAAGCCCTGTGTTTCACTTGGAGCCTTAGGGACTAATAATAACGCGGTACTTAAGAGTAATTAATGGAAAATCAAATAAGATTTCAACGTATCATTTTGGTCAGTTAGGATGTGGCTTAGAGTGGTCAAAGTGTTCTACATACACCTAGTATGTCTTGGGTCAAAATCTTTCATCGACATCATCCCGAACTAGACTGTAGCGTTATAAACTCTTACACCCTAATGGTAACTCAGAGCCTAGTACATCTAACAGGCAAATGAGTTTTGTTATACATTTGTTGCTACTACAAGTGGAGTCGTGTTCTTTTAGTCCAACTACTGGGTTACGGGTTCGAACCCCGATCCACCTACCGACGTTAGAGCAGCTAGGTGGAGTAGCACATACCCTCAGACAATGTGTTCGTGTCACAGCATGGTGTTTATCGCAAGTCGTTTTGTGTATAGTAGTATTAGTAGTAGTGAGCATACTTCCTATTTCGTACACTGAGTGAGTTGACAACGGTTTTGGTGTGGATAACTACTTATCTCCAATATGCAGTTAGTATCTTAAAAATATTCATCATCATATCTATTTTTATACCCTTATTTGCATTTATATTTTAGGTTTAAGAAATCGATTTGAAGAATATCCTAAACTGCGTGAATTAATTCGACTAAAAGATCAGTATATTCAATCTAAAGCTACCCCACCTATGTATTTATGCGCTGATCTAAGGACATTTGATTTAAATGAACTGGACTCAAAGTTTGATGTTATTCTTATTGAGCCTCCGTTAGAAGAATACCATCGAATGAATGGTGCTGTATTCGATCAGTATTGGAGTTGGGATGAAGTTAGTTTGTTTTATAATCCAGAATTTCTATTATTGTTATCACAACTGTTTTGGTTTACAATGCACTTCCACATATTAAGTTATCATCGTTAACCTAAATTAGTACTGTACAGAAGCCTTAAAAGTAGTCTTACTTCAACAGTTATTGACGCTATTGCTTCATTTTGTATTGTTGTACGTTGATTTGATTTTTAGTCGTGTTTTCATTCTTATTTATTTTATTCCTTGAGGTTTCTACTGAAACATAGGACTCCTAGCTAGAGCTTTGAAGTTCCGGTAGCAGTGGTTTTATTTTTACGGAGTGGGGTCGCTAGCCTCATGTGCGACCTTACCTCTTTACTGGTCTGTCTGTCTGTCTGTTTTCGACATAGAACTTTTTGCACATATGTGCGGCAGTTCAAGTCGCCCCACTTCATGTAACACACAAAGCAAGAGAAGAAAGTAGAAGAAATGCATAATAGAGGCAGTAAACAGAGGTGTGAGACAAAGGAATAGTAATAACGAAGAACAAAACAGTTTCATTGGAAGTCATAAGTCACAAGGAGCGGATGCATCTGCGCCACTGAGAACGATTTTGAGCAATGTCACCAATTGTTTCCAACTATTGGTTTCTACCGTCCCGAGGACCCCAACCATTCAGGAAGTCTACACCTTCCTATGTGGCTTAGACTAACTGTTGTAGATTTCATAGACTGGTGCCATGTTTTTGTTTGACCTCCGCTAACTCTTTTCCAGCCTGACCCTATATCAGCTAACATTGCCCGTCGAGGAAGGCGATGACTAGGCTTACGTAACATATGTCCTAACCATCTCAGTCGATGTAACTTCACAGCCTCGTCTATTGATTTCCCCTCCTTACCTAGAACTCGACGCCTAACCTCAATATTGCTCACCTTATTATACCATTTCACACGGGAGATATAGAGTAGGCACCTATGATCAAAGACAGCTAATCTTTTCATGTTTTCCACTCTCAATGGCTAGGTCTCACATCCATAAAGAAGGATGGAGCGGACTGGTGAGCAGTACACTCGCCCTTCGGTCGATAGTCAGATATCACATCTCCGCCATAGACGGCGTAAACTAGCATATGCGAAACTAGCCCTCTGTATCCATGCTGAGATTTCGTCAGAGATCAACCCGTTGGTACTGGCTGATGGTACTTCCCAAATAAGTGAATCAGTCAACGTGCTCTACCACTTCACTTTCTATTTCTAATGTAGGAGTCGGTGTAGTCCAGTCCTGTAATATCATCTTGCATTTGGCGGGAGCAAATCGTATCCCAAACATTCGTAGATTGCAGCTCAATGTGTTGAGAAGACTCTGCATTTTGTCAGCGTCCTCGCCTCTTTACTGGACTTACCACCGGCTTAGCGAGGTTTAGGAGTGCGCGTCTGGAGATCGAACCTGGGACCACGTGTGAGATTGGGGAGTGCTCTGCCTCTAAACCACTGATGTATATGTTTATTACTAAGCAGTTGGAGATAATTGTCCACTCACAAAATGTCTAGGCAGTAAACTACAATAGTGTGCTGAATATCTGGAATTTAGAAATGCAAAGACCAGTACTATTAGGTCTTTTGACTGCTTATCTAATATTAGTACTATTTTGAAATATTACCTGTATTTGCGCTAAGTTTATATAATTACATGGCGAATCTATTTTTATTTAACATGATATTTCAGCTTTGTCTACCATAACATTCAAAAATTCTTGTAGTCAAGAGAAACTCACCGTAGACGCTTTTAGGAGGAGTTTACTTAAAGCAAAGTGGGTAAAGCTCTCCAACTATCATAATTCGATAGTTTTCGCTAGTTCTTCAAGGATTTTTAAGTGGAGTCTTTCTGAATGAGTTCTTTTACAGAGTCCTTAGTAGGATATTAACCAAGAATAGTCCCTAATGTCAAAGCCTCTACGACAGTCTTAGAAAATCTACTAGAGGTGATCAGGGACTCATTAAAAAAAGAGTAATGATAGTATCTATCTGTGGATTCAGGCAGGAGCACCGCAAGTCAGCAGTAGTTGATGCTCCGCAATAGTGTAATTTATAGCAATAGAACATCGTAGTGAAGCGTATGATTTCAGTAAACTTCTTGAGTGTCAGCATAGATGTCAAATTGTTTATCTCTGTCTAGGAGCGCCATCGAAATATAGTTTGTAAACAGTGCCGTACAATTCCAACAGTGGTGTGAACACGGGCAGTAATTTTGCTCAAAATATTACCAATAACAAAACTTATCATTGTGTGTAAACTATTGAAATATAATTATACTTTATTTGAGTGCCGTACATATTATATTCACATTAAACTAATTACAGGAAGTATTTCTTCAGCAAACTGTTCCAGGCTCGAGCCCCTTCCTGTCTGTTTCAGTCCGGACAACTGGGTAGTATCGTCAAACCTCCCTCAATAAATGTGGCTTATAGCCTAGTACATTAGTGATCTCCTCTAGGGAATTGCTTTTTTACAATAACTCTTAAACAAGCTACAGTTTACTTCATAGGCAGTGGTAAAATCGATACAGAATCTATTGAATAACTTTATTTGTTAAATGAGGAGAATGTTAGAGACACTTAATCTGTATAAATGTTTTTAGTGTTTAGCACTTACTAGGATTCACTAAGGTTTTTATTTGTGTAGCTATTTCTCTCCAATTCTCGTGCATCACCTTGTTTTACTGTTTCCTCTGTAAAAATTTCTCATGATGTCTAGCTAACATTGTCACTAATGTCACCAACAGTGTTAACGATAGTGTTTTACAAACAGACTTTGTGTTTCTCACTTGAATTTTAAATAATTCGACGTGACTTTCATCTTCTAGACAGTACTTTTATTTTATTCGTTTACGTTCCCAGTGGAGCATAGAGCTTCAAGTTAGAGCTTTAAAGTTTCGGTAGCAGTGGTATTTATTTTTACGGAGTGGGGTCGCTAGCCTCATGTCCAACCTTCCCTCTTTGTCAGTCTTAATACTGGCTTAGCGAGGTAAAGGAGTGCGTCGGTGGCCGGGGGTAGAACCCAGAACCAGCTGCGTGGTTGGCGAGCATTCTGCCACTTTGCCACCGACTCACCTTCTATACAGTAGCTTCGTAAAACTAAGAAGTTTATTTATTGTTGTCATTATTAAAACATAAATTCGGTGCATTATAGGTACCAGGCACATACACACACAAAGTCGCGTAGTTGGTGCGAGGGCTGGAATACTTCCCAGACGCCCAGATAAAACCAAGTGGTTGTCTTAGGAGGCCACCTCCTTAGTCCTTGACATGAAGTCTAATCTACAAGACAGTGAGGCAGCGTTCTGAAGCTGTGTTCCAATGGTTGTTAGTGACCAAAACAGATTCGTACGTCATTCAATCCTTTCGGCTTGTGGAGCCGATATACACTATAGGTTTGAAAGTAGGGTTTTCCATTCCCCCTTCGGTAGACCAGCATGTCCACCAATTCGGCTTAAGCGCCAGATGTCCTCATTTGTCTTTTCACTTTTGTAAGAAACACCCATGCTGCGTGAATAGGACTTACCTGACAGAGGCTATGAACACATGGATGACTACATGGAAGCATTTTAAGAGGAAGACCGAATTGTCCCTTCTCTCGGCCGTACCAGGTTGTTTACGTGGGGAAAACTACAAAGAATGTTCATTAATTTTATAATTGTAGACTTTCGTAATCTTTTAAGTTGTAAGTTTATTATAAAAAGTTAGTCAATTTTTCTTGTGTGTGCAACTTAGTCCTATCAATGATAGATTAAGAAGTGAAAATATTCCTTTCCAGTAGTAAACTTGAAACAATCAACAATTGTAAAAAAAGCTGTATTTAATGAATTCATAAATTTCGGTGGAAAGACTCCTCAGTTGAATGCTCCTCTACAAACACTGTGATTTGTAAGATTTTTTAACGCTTTACCTTGATAACTGCAGTTCTCTTCATTTCCTTGTGAAGTCTGACCACAAGCTTGCTGTTCATCCTACTAATTTTTAATGTAATCATGATATAGGAAAAATATTCCCATTTAGACATTTAGAAAGCAAAAGGATTGAGCGAAGAAATATTTAATTTTCAATTAGATCCTTATCTCTGGCTCTACTCTAATATATATAGCATTTTTATTACAATATGCAACAATTTAACAATCAAGTGGTGATATGTTTGTCAACAATAACTAGTCAGTATCAACATGTCAATGGAAATTGCCATTTCCTTGACATTGTAGTTAGTAGTCGCCAGAAGTCAATTTACCGAAAGCCTACGTGAAAATGATATTACCTACATTTTAATGGTTTTTGTCCAAATAGCTTTAAACGAGAACTAGTCATGACTCTGATATAGAGCTAAGAGTTTATGGTTTATAGAGAAATTAGAGAAATAATTTATTATTCTCAAAAAGATGTTGGAAAGCAATAGGTTACCCTCAAAGGTTCATTAACAAGTACGGAAGATCTGAAGGCTCAAATGTCAAGCAAATCACAGTGGAAAAAAGCCCATCTGTATTCAACTTGATTATAAAGGTGAAAATATTACAGAAATTGTCAACAGGAAATTGTGGACATCACTAGACAGAGCCTATCCTGCAGCTAAGGTGGCTCCCGTCTATCGAACAACTTGCTGTTTGGTGCAATCAAAGATGGATAGATATCCTTCTCATGTTAACTCCATCTGTATATACAAATTTAGATATATCTGCGGGAGCAGTTACTTTGAAATAACAGAAAGAAGTGCATACCTATGACTTTATGAACATTTACTGAAAAACCTACGTCTTAAGGGAACAAATGCTTTGAACAGTGCCATCGCTAGGCATCTCCTCGATACGGTTCATAAGGTAGATGTCGCAAGATCGTTCAAAATTATCAAATATATATCATGAAGCGCCCGAAACTCCATGTATACGTTCAGAAAGAAGCGATTATCAGTCTTTCCTCACCCTCTCTTTCATCTCATTACGTAATGTCGAAAAATTCCATTGTGTATGGTCATTATTGTTCAGGATAGTATATATATATATATATATATATATATATATATATAGTTGGCACTCATCAGTCAGCAAAGCGTATCTGAAACCTTGAAGGAACTCATGCCCCTTCTGTGGTTCGAACCCGCATCACCCTGTGCTGCAGTCAGAGACGTTACCACTGAGCTGTTCGGGCCCGCGATTGGCCTCCACTATCTGATATCAAAAATTCAAAATGGACTGTGATGGTGAGTGGGACACTCATCCTCACACTTGACTGGATGTACCAGTGAGAACCATGGACCGCCGATGACATTGGTTGGTGGTCGTGCTAAATCAAGAATTGGTAGAAGTTAGAATTCTTGGGCTGATCTTTTAATAGGATACCAGTGGCTTAATGGTATAAAAGCTTGTCTTATAACCGGAAGGTCCTGGGTTCGAACCATGGTGGTGGGTGTGTACTGCCGATTCCCAAACTAGGATGAAACAGCTGTCCAGTACTGCCTGGTTTTCCAATGGTTCTCTAATTGATATCAATCCGTGGGCAAACTCGTAATACAAATCTAATCCTTACAAACCAATTCTGGAAAGGATAATATTTGCTAATTTTTCTCGGGAATCCAAGTGTCTATCTACAATAGTATCAACGAGTTGGTTTAGCAACACCCCACTCTCCCTACTGATGGCTTTTAGCACCTTACGCAGTATAACAAACAAAATATTTCTTAAGCAGCCCGGGAAAGATTAAGCTAGGGGAACAGTAAAGAAGTGTAAGCAGAATACAAGAATTAAGAAACGGTAACAGTAGAGACGGAATGATACCAGATTGTCTTAATTTCCTTACATAGAACGAAATATCTTTCTTGAAACTAACATGGTATGTGAAGAAAAGAGAAGATCAGCGGAAATACACAGTCCAAGCTATGTAACATTCGATTTGGTTTCAACTTCAGCGTCATCTATGATAGTGGAATCGTCCGAAGTAACCAAGTAATGTAAGTCGCACTTGCGTGTCTGTGAATGGAATTAACCACCTGACATTTGTCTTTATATCAGTTTATTTAAAGATTTTAAAATGTATCAATTTTTTTCTATGACTACTTTTACTTCTACTACTATTATATATTGGTGATCAATGTAGATTGAACGTTTGCAAATTGAACAGATAGCTGCTCCACGTGCATTTGTTTGGATCTGGTGTGGCTCTGGTGAAGGTTTAGATGCTGCTCGTAGGGTAAGCTTTACATTTAAATATTCTCTTCATTCTTGAGGTTTTAAACTTGCAAATCATCATACACAGCTGTTTGAAATAAATATTTAATCTAACGATCAACGTTTTGTTTTGTCAATTCATTAGCTGTGTGTGCTCTCAAAATATTTTGAGCTCTATGTATCACTTTTAAAGAGTTTCAAAGTAAGAAAAAAAAAACAGGTTAATATCAATGATTTTGTAGAAGTTATCAGTTATAGAATTTGACATTCTTATTTCTTTGTTATTAATTACCTACCTAACTCAATGAACCACAGTTCTTATAGAATCGGAAACAGTGGGATGAAATATATATATATATATATATATATATATATAGTTGGCACTCATCAGTCAGCAAAGCGTATCTGCAACCTTGAAGGAACTCATGCCCCTTCTGTGGTTCGAACCCGCATCACCCAGTGCTGCAGTCAGAGGCGTTACCACTGAGCTGTTCGGGCCCGCGATTGGCCTCCACTATCTGATATCAAAAATTCAAAATGGACTGTGATGGTGAGTTGGACACTCATCCTCACACTTGACTGGATGTACCAGTGAGAACCATGGACCGCCGATGACATTGGTTGGTTGGTGGTCGTGCTAAATCAAGAATTGGTAGAAGTTAGAATTCTTGGGCTGATCTTTTAATAGGATACCAGTGGCTTAACGGTATACGAGCTCGCCTTGTAACCAGAAGGTCCTGTGTTCGAATCCTGGTGGGTGCATACTGAAGAGTCCCAAACTAGGATGAAACAGTTAACCAGTACTCCCAGATTTTCCAATGGTTCTCTAACTAATGTCAGCTCATGATGAAATCCTGTAATAATAATAGTTTTCACCTTCCTAATGACAATAATTGTGAGTTCAGTCTTCGTAAGCATCTAAAGTATCTACAAAACTGTATGTAGTGAAATAAAAATGAAACGTCAGTCAAGTGATGTTTCGAATTGTCCATATATATATATATATATATATATATATATATATATATATATATATATATATATATATATATATATATATATATATAATCATGTCAATGTTATGTCAACAATGCAATCATTAAAAAGACATCAAAATATTTTAGAAGTTGTATTGTACAGTGCATTGGTGAAGAGAGGAGATTGACCATGAGGCTAGCTAACCAACTAGGTGGAAAATAAACACCACTGTTAAAGAGACTTCAAAGCTCAAGCAAGCTTGAAACCCTCCCCATATTTGTTGCACTTGGGACGCAAAGGAATAAAATGAATAATACAAAAAATAATGAAGACAGATAATCTAAGTCATCAAGTGGATAAGAAAAATGCCTTTATAATTATTTGTCATACATATTCCACGTAGTAGTAACTTTCGAATAGAATTCAAATTTACCTTTTATACATAGCCAAGAGTATGAGAATTCGGAAGACTTACTCAAGTTTGTGGATTTAGATAAAACAGTTTGTTCTACATTTATCTCTCTTTGTGACTATTTCGTTTTCGTACAATGCCTTTGTTTAAACTTTGTTAAGGCGTTCACTTTAAACTATCCTTTCTAAAAAAATTATTTGTTTGCTTTAACAGTGTTTACGTAAATGGGGATTTCGTCGTTGTGAAGATATCTGTTGGATTAAAACAAATATAAATAATCCACGACATGAAACTCTTGAACCGAATGCTGTATTTCAGCGCACAAAAGAACATTGTCTAATGGGTATACATGGAACTGTTAGACGATCAACAGATGGTGATTTTATTCATGCTAATATAGATATTGATTTGATTATTGAAGAAGCTCCACCACAGGGGAGTTATGCTGCTAAAGATAAACCAACTGAAATATTTCATATTATTGAACATTTTTGTCTTGGCCGACGAAGATTACATCTATTCGGTCGAGATAGTACACTGAGACCTGTAAGTGAAACTTGTCTTGACTTCATGACTGTTCTACACTGTTTATGACAGACTGATACGTAATTTTTTGTAGAAGAAAATCCTTTTTAAAAAAGATCGTTTCATTCATCTGATTGAAGAAATCAGCTCATTTCCAGTTGTTATTTGTAGTTAAGTCAATATCCTACTGATAGCTGATACCATGACGTGGCGGTCGGGTTTGTATATCACAATAACTCAACAAGCTACACTGACTGGAACTGATGTTCAAGCAGGTCCTATGATGCCAGAAAGGTTGTTGGGATAATAATAATTTTTTTGTTGATAATAATTTATTTTGCTTTATTCCAAAAACAGTACTTATGATACAGAATGGAATTCTCAGCATTTGTCACCATATTGCATTTGATTTACTTAAAATATAAATAAAATTAAAAATTGAAACAAAAGTAACCAGAGGAATTTGTCCACGCTTACTATATAAAGTCAAAAATATTCTAAATACGAATTGAGATCATTAAATATTAATAATAATAATAGTAATAATAATAATAACAGTGAGTTTGTTTCAAACAGTATTGTCGATTCTGTTTGAAAATTTTAGCATTTTACTATAGAGTATTGAATCTAATGTTCTGCTGATGTAGTATAGTGAGGGGAAATACAAGATTAACAGTGGTAACAGCTTAAACGATGTTCACATTTATGAAAAAAATAAATAAAAACAAAAAATTGATAGGATTGTAAATATAAGAAATACAATAACAATCAAGTTTGGTACTGTAAGGGTGGAACAAATGGTTTATTTAGTAGTGCAAAGAAGGTTAGTTAGTTCATGCCTGACATTATTTCCATCACATAAAAAACGTGCTAAATATGGTATAGTGGAATTTTTAGACTAAAAGCAGTTACCGGAATAGTGAAAGATGTTTACACTATACTTGGTATCTGTGGCCAAAGTCATATTGCTGCGTAGCGGAGATGTAACAGCAGCAAGATATTTCTTTTAGATAACCAGCATTCCAGCTGTACTGCCTCTTAGCTCCGGCGACGGGGAGGTTAGTAAAGGTCGACCCGACTTACCCTACGGTGGTTCGTAGCCGGTTGTAAGTTACTAATACAGAGACGACCCTAAAAACCTATTCAAAGAGGCTGTGTGTAACTGGTCTTAAGCAGCTGTCCCCTGGGATATGCAGTCACCAATTCTCTTTCTGTTTCAGGTGCCCCAAGAAAGAATCAACTTCCAGTGTCAGTAGCCCGTAAGCAACAATCGTCCACACACTTCCAAAAGCTACGAAGCTGAAAGTTGTTGACATGAACAACTAGTTTTTGAAGTTGTGTTATTATCAAAGGATGTTTCATCCATTATGATTAATTGGGTGGTGACGTCTATGCATGGTGGAGGAGATTTTCAGCTCATATTTGAAATATTAATAATAATTGTATGGTTTTTTCTACATTTCGATACTTGATATTTCATCGATAGACTTTGGTGTCTACGTAAATGCTCGTTCTATTTTTATAATTGTTGTTTAGTAATATTAATAACTGGATATTATATGTGTGATTCCTGAATCGGATGAAATTGCATACTTTTGTGGGAACTTATCATATAACAAAATACTAATCCATCTATGCACTAGGTTTAGAGATAAAAATGCTGTTCATCGATTAAGCTTAAATTCGATATTCAGCTAATAACTCCGCCTGATGTACTTCAACATCAGCTCTCCTATAATATAAATGTGGCTCATAATGCAATGGAAATATCATCCGGGTGGCCGATTTCTAATAGGCCTGGTTTATAATTCTTTTTCAGCTGAATACATTTCCCGATTATATAAGTTATTCTTCGATTCTATTTTGATTGTTAAGGCACAGTTGTCAAATGACATTAATTAGTTGGATTTACTATTATTACTTCGTTAATGTTGATTCTTGACCGACTCACTCTTAAATCTATCCTAGTTTACTAACCGGTTGCAATCATAGAAGGAAAAGGGTTGGATATGAGGCTGCCAACCCCAAGCTGTGAGCAAGCAACACTCTAGTGTTAATAAAGCGCTTCAAAAGCTTGATATCGTTTGTTCCACTTTGAATGAAAAAAATGTACATGTTATAATGCATGAGTATTCCGTTGATTTTATTAATGTTCACTCTAAATAATGAGCAGCAAGTGGATTAAAATTCTATATGATCAAGTGACGAGTATACGCATGGAAGCGTTTTCAATGTCTCCATCCACTCATTAGTAGTAATACTTTGTAACCACCGTTAATTAAATAACTGTCAAAGACAGTATCTGGTTGCCGAAATTAAACTCAGTGGAACGATGCAGACCATTTAAGAATGTTACCAGTGAAATTCAGGACTCGAGCTTCTTCCGATGTGAAACTCGCTAGCTGGATGTATCTGTATTCTAAATAAGTGATGGGTGCGCCCACAGCACGAGACACCTGTTGCATTTTAGCGAAGAAATATTTATTTCCAAGCTGTTGTACTAAATTTTCTCATTGATTAAAGATGTCCATTTGAAATTTTATAAGATTGATTGCTGAAGAAAGAATATTCTTTTGGATAACCTCTTCTTCATAAGGCTGTGCAGTTATATATATCCATCTATAATGATGAAAAAATGATTCTCATTGACAACATCATTGGTTTTTTAAAGGATTACATTGAATCATTTAGATCAGAATTCCAATAGTTACCTGCAATTAGATTGTTGATAGTTTATAGTCCAAAATATATGTGTTTATGTGGTAATATGTATAATTGTACGTATAATACTAAATTGAACACAAATATTACAAGGTATAAATGATTACGAATGACAACGAATGTGTTGTAATATTCTCATGAGTCATGTTCATATTAAATTCTTTTCATATGGATTTTAAACTTCAAATGGTTGAATGATCATCTGGAAGACGCGGGGGTAGAGAAAACATTATAAATAATACTTAAAGAATCTTTAATGGGGACATTCTCTAATAATGAATTAACATCAAAACTTGCCATTACTTCATCTTCTTCAATATAAGTCGTGTTGATTTTTCTCTTAAATTCATACGAATTCTTCACTCTATATTCCACTTTCATATTTCACATTGACTTAGTATTCGATAAATGTATTTACAGTTTGTAGGTTGGGGAATCAGTAAAATCTCACATTTCATGCCCCGGCCGATAACTGCTACGTTGTCGTGGTGGTTGTCGGGCTTGAATGCCGTAATGACCCAACATGCTAAACTGACTGGGACTCTGTCCCTGCAGGTCCTACCATGTCAGGAAGGTTGTTTGGATAGCGGTTAAACTGAAAGCAGTTACCATAGGGTACATGGGCTCCAGTATCCAGTCGGATCAAATGGCGTATGAACGCATATGGGTCACCAGCAACCATGGGAATGCAGCTCCTGACGCTGCTCCGCTGCCTTACGGATTAGACTCCAAGTCAAAGGCTCGGGGGGGGGTGGTCCTTTAATAAAACCACCTGCTTCGGTCTGGGCGCCCGAGCAGTATCTCAGCCCTCACACAATGAATTGAATGAAGCAACAAACAATCAATGAAACTTATCGCGTGCTATTACACGTGTTGCAATTTCCTTCTTTCTTTCCTTCCCGATGATAGTTAACGAATACTGTTTGAACTTGTTAAGCATGACTGTTTTCCTTCCAGATGAAGTTCTTTTTCCGTTCTCTACTTATATATATATATATTTCTCTTCTTTCTTTTTTCTTTTGATCTAAGTGATTTTATTATTATTGTGTGGCGCATCCTTCTTGGTTCCATATTGTACCAAGATTTTATGCGTTTAAATAAATAAATACACATTTCATGCAAATATGTTTGTTTATTATACTGTGATGCCTGTTTCATGACTCATGATTGGACTAAGTTTTTAAAGGCAAGAGATGTCCATTTTATATATAAACATCTGTTATTTTAATTTCGATTGAATTCCCTGCCGAAGTTTGGACCGGTTTGCCGAACAAAACGTTGGAATCACTCATTTCAATTTTCCTGAGATCTTACAAATGAAATTTTTACATGTGTACTTCTCACTCGGTGCCCAATTATTTTGGAACTACTTGGTCAAATCGTGATCACAGTTCATATGAATAACATTTTGTTTCCCTATCTTAACGTAGTGATTAACTTACACACCGCTGGTGCACACATACACACGCATATTACCTTCCACCTCGTTTTTCTCCCGATTTCGAGATTATTATTCATCCATATGAAGTTTATAATCAATATGAATAGAATTTAATATGAATATGACTCATGGAAATTCAAATGCCATTGTACTGTAATCTGTTCATATTATTGATTTATCTGATGTTAATTAAACAGCATTAATGTTGTTAATTATCCCTAATTCTTTCAGTATTATGCATGCACATATAACTGCAGGAGAGGAGGTGGCACAGTGGTTAGGACTCTCGCCGACCATGCACATTATCCGATGTTCGATCCCCTGCCGACGCACACCTGATATCTGTGGTCGGCCTGCAAAATTTGGGCTACCGATATCACATACTGAAAATTCCATACTTTTACCAAAAATACGGTGTGGAATCAAGCTGTAATCAAAAATAAAAAAAAATAAAATAAAAGAATATTCTTTGTTCAGTAATCAATCTTTTAGAATTTCTAAGTCAGAATCTTTAGGACGTAGGTATTGCAGTGACGATTAAAGCCTGGGATGACATCTAGATTGCGATTGGATACCGGTTTAACAGTTGAAATGAAATTAAGGTGTGATCAGCAGTTGGCTTTATTCCTTGAGTAGTGATACAACCATCACTTTATCGTATGAGAGTGCTATTAGTAGTAAAGGCTTTTTTTGTACCTTAAAAATAAATCTAAGTATTTTATTTAATTTTTAGGGTTGGTTAACTGTCGGTAATGAACTATCTGCATCAAATTATGATCCTCGTATGTATGCAAATAATTTTAGTAAAGAACCAAATGGTTTATTCCTTGGATCAACTGAAGAAATTGAACGATTACGTCCAAAATCTCCACCACCACGTCATCCAAATCCTAACACGGCTCCTAGCGGTAGTGGTACACCTAGTACTATTTGTCCGATTTCAGAGGTTACGCCTACACCAATTTGTCCTAACCCTGTTTTACCACCTGCTGGACACATGTCACGTTCAATATCGTCTATATGTTCACTTGGTAATTCTGTTGTATCAAATATTAGTTCACTTTCTGGAGTACCATGTAAGTTTATTTCAGCGTGTATTGAGTAGTTTTCTTTATGTGCAATTGAAGCATGCAACCATTATCATTAGTTAGCACATTCATATTTTGTTTTGAACAGTTCGATTAGTCTGATCTTTCTCTTATTTATTCAAAGATGCTTCCTAAACAATTTCGAAAGAATGAGTTTAGTGAACAAAGAATATTCTTTTCGATAACATCAACATCAGGTTGTACAGTTTTATGTTCATAATAATTCAAGAATTATTCAAGTACTGGTTTGTAAGGATTTGATAGATTGGTTATAGGATTTCATCATGAACCGACATCGGTTTGAGGACCATTAGATAACCTGGCATTTTCGGACGGCTGTCTCGCCTTAGTTTTGGACTTTTCAGTAGTACGCACCCACTGAGGTTCTAACCCAGGACCTTCTGGTTACAAGGCGAGCGAGCTCCTAAACCATTAAGTCAGTCAGTGGTCCCCGACCCAGTGGCCAACCCATGAATTCCAACCTCTACCGCAACATAACGTGATCCCTAGCGAATGTCATCGGTGGCGAGTATTTGTCCTCGCACCCGACCTGTTGTACTCTACTTGTCGTGACTTCCAAGAAGCTGGAATTCGTAGACCATTGGATAGGATCCCAGTAGCTTAATGGTCTAAAAGCTAGCTCACCTTGTAACCAGAAGGTCCTGAGTTCGAACCTTGGTGGGTGCGTACTGCTGATGGTTCCCAAACCAGGACGCGGAACAGCTGTCCAGTACTCTCTGCAGATTTTCCAATGGTCCTCAAACCGATGTCTGCTCTTGATGAAGTCCTGCAACCAATCAGATCCCTGCAAACCAACAGTTGAAAATCAAATTTAGATAAATAAATCATCCATCTTAGTTTCAGGAGAAATTCCTCATAAACTCTTGAAAATAGTTTACTGAATTCGCTTATTTCATGAAAGATTGTTACGTACAGTCAGTATTATAGACTGAAGAGGAATTTGAAGCCGAAAAGTTACAAAACTTCTGGAAGTTCCTCAGTTCTAGTTGTGGATATTAATTACAGTTTGTATTGTGTAGTTCGTGTAGAATTGTCGAGAGAGAATAGTAGGAATTTGTAAATCGTTTAAGTAGCATGATTTAGCAAGAGAGTAACCCTCATGCTGTGTTTCGTTGGAAAAATTATCCCTACGCTTTATAGTTGTGTCTCACTATTTTTATAGAAATACTGAGTCTTTAACACAGAACTTTAAATACCTAACGGAAATATAGGTAGGTGGTCGACAGAAGTTTCGATCTCTACAGTTGATTTTACGTTTTAGTCCCACTTGGTAGTATAAAACCTGTTTTTTTACTTATTGTTTTAGGTGTATGCTTTTACGCATCATTATCATTACGTTTCTTTTCCGTAATTTATGAAGCTGCATTGACTGAAATTCCTAGGGTTATGGATAATACATGTTGAGCCATCGCCTTCCTTGTCGATCAATGTTGCCTTATATACGATTAGTTGAGAAAAAGGGACGTAGAAGAGAAGTTCGATTAATGAAGTCTTTCAATATTGGTTTTAACCACATAGAGAAGTATAAACTACTTGTCTAGGTGGGGTCATCGAGATGCGAGAAACCAATGGCCAAAGACTATTGATGACATGGTTTGAAATCGTACTTAATGACGTAAATTTATTCACTCTTTATCATCTCCGCAAATCTGTTGAATCCTCATCAACTATCCTTTATGTGTACTTTTATAAAGTACTATACTTTCGTGCAAAATTAATTGTACGTTAAAATTCACGTGACTGTCGATTTGATGCCTTTTCCTCACTAAATTCGCATTTTGCCCTTTCTCATTATGTTTAATAATAATATTCATGAACAATGCTTGCATCAATTATCAAATTCTGCTTAACTCAACAATGATTATCCCCCAATTCGCATGAAATTATTGATAATCTGACGGCAAAGCCTATAAATCCATTGCAATAGTTCAACCTGGAATATTTCCCTTTTTTATTTCCGTCTAAAAGTAAACTTGTTTATCAATAAATAAATTTTTGCAGTGATCTACTTGTTTTATAGTAATCAGCTTTTTTTCAAAACGGAGTTCCTACTATCTTTAACGCTCTTATAAAATACCTCTGTACTGCTCTCTTATGTAAACATCATACTGCGAATATACCGTGTATAAATCTATTGATAATGACCATCACGACTGTGTGTTCCCCGTAAACTAATTAGAAGTTATTTATCAATATTATTATTATTCCCCTGAGTTCTGAGTGGAACTTGGGGCTTCAACAACACTTCTCCACTTTGTCCTATCTTCTGTCATCCTCTTCAGCTTGAGCCACGATTGCCCTCAATCTCTCATCTCCTCCTCACACGATCGCTTCCATGTCACCCTAGGACGACCCATTCGTCACCTCCCATTGGGATTTCACTCTAGGAATGGCCTGGCGTGCGATGTCATTCGACAGCCTCCTCAATATATGAGCAATCCATCTCCATTTTCTCCCACATATTTGTTGAGCAATCGGCTCTTGCTTTGTTGGTTCGTTCATCGCCAGAGTTTCTTGTTACTAATTCTTTCTGGCCTGCCATTTGATCTTGAGTATGGAGCGAAGGCAGCTGTTTATGAAAGTCTGCAACCTGTGGGAAATCCTTTTCGTGACACGCAGTGAAAGTTTCTGACCCGTATAGAAGGACCAACTTGACATTGGTGTTGAAAAGAATCCGAATCTTGTTCCTTGTGCTGAGTGCAGATTTCCAAATTGGTTGACGAAGGCGTATCTTGCCTTTCCAATTCTGACTTTGACATCTCCATCCGTCCCGCCTTTCGGTGCAATGATGCTTCCGAGCTAAGCGAAAGAGGTAACCTCTGTTAAATCTCTCCCGTTGATGGTGATCGATGCTGGTTATTGTTGTTGCTGTTGGTTGGTTATCTTCACCACCTCCGTCTTCTCTATGTTGACCTGGAGTCAGTCCTTTCTCCTCTGCACCGCTTCTCCAGCCACTTTGTTGGTTTTCGCCTGCAAGTCGAGTTTGTGTGCGAATAGACAAATGTCATCTGCGAAGTCCAGATCTTCTAGAGTCTTGTCATTGGTGGTCCAGCGTACTCCTGTCTTCTCACACCCTGTGTTCAGTCTGACACAAATGCAGTCAGTCCAACACAATTAAGAATATCATCGGTGACAGGAGACAGCCAGCTTTGTCTTAGTCCTGTGTGCACTTCCAACGCCTCACTGAGTTTCTGGTTGTGGATCACGTGACATATGGCACTGTCATATAGCGAACTGTTGAATAAGGTTGATAAAGACTTGGGTACGCCGTAGTGTTGAAGTAGTTTCCAAATTACTTCTTGGCCAACGCTTTCTAATAAAGGCCTTTTCGAAGTTAATTAAGTTGCGGTAGAAGCAGGTTTTACTGTCATTCTATGCTTTGTTCTTTGATGACGATGCGTAGAGTCGCAATTTGATCAGCGCATGATTTCCCTTTCCTGATTCTAGCTTGTTCCCGAGGGTGGTGAAGTCCTGTATCCTGTATCAATAATAGTCGTGTTTTTTTTGGTGTAAATACTCCAAGAAATCTTTTAAAAGAACTTACTGGACAATAATTCTGTTTGTTTAAAAATCTAGACGTCCACTGTATCATGTATCATTTTAGAATTTACTGTGCACTGACATCAGTTAGAAGAAGTACTCCATTCAAAATCAAAAGTACTGGACGACTGTTTCGTCCTAGTTTGAGACTCCTCAGAAATGCACACCCATGACCACGCTAGTAATTGATCTTAGAATATTTTGGTTCAGAGGTCAGCCAGCTGTAAACATTAAGCTATTTCATGTGGAACGCAACCGTACTCATAAAAATAAACTCCTGAAAATTAATCTATTGTCTACTACGGGTTGGAGACCTAGTGAACAGTCATGACCGGTGGTGGATATTTTGAAAAGAGATACTCGCCAATGACACCAGGGAATTGCTGAAAGTTAGAAATCCAATCGTGTGACTGAATGTTCGACGAGCTCTCATCGCAAGTTGTAGTTCATGGGTTATATCACCAATTTGACCAACGGAGGGTACTGCTAAAAAGTGTCAAACTAAGATGAAATAGCCGTCTAATCGTTCCACGTTTTTAATGATACTATAGCTGATGATGTTAATTCGTCATCTGACTTAGAATCAATGAAATCAGTGAAAACCAACACTTGAAAATTATTCTTTTCTTCAACAGTTTTGATCGTTTTGTCGTTTAGTTAAGTACATTCTACTATGAAATTCACATGCGAAGAGGAATTCCAAAAATAAAAAATTGCCTTCCTAGATGTCCTCCTCACAAGAAAACCATATGGTAACATGAAAAGAAATTTACATAGAAAAAGTACATGGACAGGACAATATACACATTTTCATAGCTTCTTTCCTCTGTAGTAGAAAAGAAATTTAGTAAAGACCCTCAGCCATAGAGTTAGAGCTATATGCTCAGAAGAAGTAATTGAAGATGAATTAAGCATTGCATATGATACCTTGGTTGAAAATAGTCATCCAGGCAAATTCATGAGGAAACATATTGATAAGAAAGTTGAAAAGAACTATTCACTATCCGTAAACAAGAAGCCTCTTTGTATACAACTACAATTCAGGGGCGATATACCTAGCGAAGTAATGACGGGGAAGTTAAGAAAATCAGTTTAAAGGACTCTTAACGTTGACAAATTAAAACTCTTATTTTCTACGCAACTGGTGGTGATTCCTCAATTGAAAGATGAAGTACCTAGACTAGCCACTTAGAAATGTATCTACCAATTCAACTGCGCTTGTGGAGCGAGTTATATCGGCCGTTGCGTCAAGAACTTGATTTTTCGTGCTCAAGAACATCTTCCAGTATGGCTAAGTAAAGGTGAAGTGAAAGCCATTAACAGTTCGATATTAGACTATCTGGCTTAAACCGGCCACATAGCCAGCGTGGAAGAATTCTTCTCTATCATCTACCTGGTACGAAATAAATTGCCAAAAATATCCAGGTCCCTTATTTTCCAAACAGCAGAGACTATCGCGATTCGCCTTAAACAACTGATGCTCTGTGTTCAGGAGAAACAAGTCCAGCTAGCCACTGCTACTGCCCTGACCGGCTTTCAGTAGAGAATATAAATTCATGAATTCTGTATAATTATTTTTAATAATTTTTCTGATATTTATTCAGTGTATTGTTATGTTGATGCTATCGAACTGTAGTCCATTGATATTATTAATGATTCGATGTTATTTAAACAACATTAATGTTGTTAATAACACTAATTCATTCACTATTATGGATGCATATAACTGTAAAAGCTGATAAAGGGCAGGTTATCGAAAAGAATATTCTTTGTTCAGTGACCATTCTTTTGTAGAAAGTTTTGAAACTAAGAATTCTTGCTTATGTATGCTTGCTTTCTTCTTTCTGGCCTTTTTGTTCTATAGGTGGTAGTCATTCAACACGAAGATTTGTTCCTACTAATAATGTTATTAAACAACCAGTCAACTCTACCGGCCCATTGACCAACTCTTCACTTTTAGGCCTACCAACCGCTTTGCAGAATGCATCATCTAATAGATCTGCTTCGAGTGGGTGAACTTGTTGGTTGATATGTTGTTGTGGCTTTTTTTTCCCGTCTGTTTTATCTTCCAACTCTTGTAGAACAGTACTGGTTATTATCACTGATGTTTTTCGTGTTTTATGAATCACCCAGTCATATTTCCTGCTTTTTGATGACCAAATAATGAAGTATGGTGTTCATTTTAAACTCTATGTATGCTGTATATTACTTTTATGCTAGCTCACACGATGTTTATTTGTCGTAGGTTTCAGTGAATTTCTTTACAGGGGAACCTTCCAAGACAGCCTAAGGAAATAGATGATAAATAGTTAGTTGGGTTATGTGCGTCAGTGGCACAGCGGTGAAATGCTTGCCAACCATGCATATGGTTCTGGGCTCTATCCACGGCCACCGACGCACTTCTTTACCTTGCTAAGCCAGTAATAAGACTGGTCTTTACCAGTCTTCCCTCTTTAAGGAAGGTTGGGCATGAGGCTAGCAATCCCATCCCGTAAAAATAAACACGACTGCTACCGAAACTTCAAGTGTCTAGCTTGAAGCCCTACGTTCCAGTAGGAACGTAAAGGAATAATAATAATAAAAGTTAGTAGGGTGAAATTAATGCCATACATTCAGTCCTTGGTCAAGTTTTCCATTTGGTTACCAGACTAGATGAATCTCCATAGCGGTGCACTCTATATTTGTGTTAGATGGTTGGTACCAATCGACAGGAGGCCCTGGCTAGCCTAGGTTTTGAGCTTTTTATCATTCATCTGCAATCTCGGAGGAACTCTTGTCCCCTCTGAGAGTCGTCCATACTACACCCTTAATATGATACTCTCATTCTCATTTCTTCAAAAATAGGTACACGAATTAATTTACGCACACCCTTAAATGCGGTCGCTGCCTCCAGCTCTTCGCATAGACTAACTGCATTACAGATGGCTGCAGCTGCTCATCATCAAGGCAATATTCATCCACCTAATCCACCGATATGGTCAACTCCAAATAATTTTGCAGTAGCATTGGCTGCTATGGCAGCAGCAGCTGCAACCTCTCATAACTTACCTGTTCCCTCTGCACTGAACTCTTCGAATTCAAGGAGTGCTATATCTGATTCACCTTTACTTGCTGGACTTGTCAGTGCTGGTAAACTGAATCCAACTATACTTGCAATGTTGAATACTTCAAATCCTGTCAATCCTTCAAGTCTATCATTATTGAACAGTATTCTCCGAAATACTACTACTTCTGGGAAACATCCTAACAATAGTTCATGGCATTGAATTGATGCATTATAACTTATTTCTTTATGTTTTGGTGACTTACTGTTCATAATATGATGTGTAGTTATCGATTGTCGTTGATACAAATGTATTTTCTTTTATATATTGATTCAGAAAAAAAGTTGTTACATTTCTAATGTCTTAACTTCTTCTTTAACCACCTTGTGTTTGACACATGAAGTTACTGCTCAACTATATGTCTGTCTGTTTTCAACATAGAACTTTGCACAGATGGGCAGCAGTTCAAGTCGCCACACTCCATGTAGCACACAAAGCAAGAGAAGAAAGTAGAAGAAATGCATACTAGAGACAGTAGACAGGGATATCAAACGAAAGGAATAATAATATCAAAGAAAAATACAGTTTCATTGGAAATTATAAGTCACAGGGAGTGGATTCATCTGCGTCATTGAAAACGATTTCGAGCCATATCACCGATTGTCTCCAGCCATTGGATTTTACCGTCCCGAGGACCCCAACCAGGAAGTCTACACCTTCCTACGTGACTTAAACTAACTG